TCCACTTCACCTTCTCAGTAGTCTCACGAATAAGTTCTGGTCCAAGTACTACACTTTTTCTAGATTCATGCCAACATAAATTAGTTCTACATCTCCGACCATACAACGCTTCAAAAGGTGCCATTACAATACTATAATGGTAATTGTTATTGTAAGTGAACTCTATCAACGGAAGATAACTGTCCCACGAACCTCCCTTCTCAAGAACACATGCTCTCAACAAATCTTCCAACAATTGAATAGTCAGTTCTGTCTGACCATCCGTATGAGGATGATACGCCGAACTCAACATCAACTTAGAACCCAATGTCTCTTGCAAAATCTTCCAAAAATCAGAATTAAACCTCAGATCTCTATTTGAAATGATGCACAAAGGAACACCATGCAACTTCAGAATTACACTAGTGTAATTCTCGGCCAACTTCGACACTAGAAAGCTGATGTTAATAGGAATAAAATGAGCCGACCTCGTAAGCCTATCAACAATCACCCAAATCGAATCATGTCCTCTTAAAGTATTAGGTAATCCCGTCACAAAGTCCATCGAAATGCTATCCCATTTCCATTCTATAACTTCTAACAGTTGCATCAAACTTGTAGGCTTCAGATGCTCAACTTTCGACTTCTGACAGGTTAAACATGCATACACAAACCGAGCCACATCACTCTTCATCCCATTCCACCAAAACAACTTCTTCAAATCCTGATACATCTTTATAGCCCCCAGATGAATACTCAACTTGCTTCTATGACTCTCTTCGAGAATTACTTTCTTCATCTATGTGTCATCAGGAATACATATCCAATTACGAAATATCAACACACCTTGCGCATCTAACTTGAAATCACTATTCTCAGACCGATCGATCCCAACCATCGAATCTACCAATTTCACAACTAACTTTTGAGTCTCTTTGATACTCTCAAGAAATTCATTATTAATCTTCAACATCCCCAACATAACACTCTGCGGTGTCACCTCGCAAAATAAGCTCATATCTCTAAACTATTCAATTAATTCCAATTCCTTAACCATCATTACCGACATATGCAAAGTATTTCGACTTAACGCATTAGGTACCACATTCGCTTTTCCTGGATGATAATTCAAACTGAAATCATAATCTTTTAACAATTCCAACCATCTTCGTTGCCTCATATCCAATTCCTTTTAATAAAATAAATACTTTAAACTCCTATGGTCATGAGTCACCAGCAAAAATCCCTTCACCAATGAAGTCATCACTATCCCCAGAGAGTTGCTACTAAATCTAAAAACGGGTCAGATGTCAGTCAACTTTATCCTCCTCAGACGAGTTAGAAATTTATCCATCAATGTTATCCCCAATCAGGGTATACAAGGAATTATAACTCCCCAGTAGAGCAAAGAACAACCAAAGTTTTTGAACTCTTTTTCCCCTAAGCAAGAGTTAACATTCTCCAACAGATTTCCCTTAGAAAGCAGAAATCAATATTCCCCAACTGAGTTTTCTCATATAGCAAGTAGGAACCCCTAGCAGAAACAATTCCTAGAAGATTGAATATTACACATACTCTTCATCCCTTACGACAGTCAGTGATTTATTTTCTCATACTAAGACGCTTCTGAAGATTACGAATGCACCTCAAAAGCATTTCACATTCATACATCATTTATAAAATATCTTAGCATATGCATACGAAACGCATACAACATAGTCTTATTTATTTTGAGGACATCATTATACAATGCATTTCATATATCATGACATTTCATACGGTTAATTTTTTATCTTTTTAGGTAAAGTCTACAGACAGATGAATATCATCAACTATCTACATGACCAGACGACATTTCCTCGGAGACTGAATTCCGACAAAGCATTTTGTCGAAGACTGAATTTCAACAAAGCATTTCCTCGGAGATTGAATTTTGACAAAGAATTTCCTCGAAGACTGAATTTTGACAAAGCATTTCCTTGAAGATTGAATTCCAACAAAGCATTTCCTCGAAGACTAAATTTCGGCAAAGCATTTCCTCGAAGACTGAATTTTGACAAAGCATTTCCTCAGAGGTTGAATTCCGAAAAAGCATTTCCTCGGAGATTGAATTCCGACAAAGCATTTCCTCGAAGACTGAATTTCAACAAAGCATTTCCTCGGAGACTGAATTTCGACAAAGCATTTCCTCGGAGGCTGAATTCCGACAAAGCATTTCCTCAAAGATTAAATTCTGACAAAGCATTTCCTCGAAGACTGAATTTCAACAAAGCACTTCCTCGGAGACTGAATTCCAAAAAAGCATTTCCTCGGAGATTTAATTTCGACAAACATTTATTCAGAGACAGAACTCCGAAAAGCATTTCTTCAGAGACCGAATTTCGACCAATATTTTATCTCAGAAACTTACTCTGAAAAGCTTTTCCCTCAGAGATCTACCAAAACTATCCCTTTCAGAGACTAAACTCTAAGAGGACAGTTCCTTTGAAGGCTCATTCCAATACCCTTTTCAATTAAAAAAGGGTAAAATACCTCTGCTGGTTCAGTTTAAATCAACCAAAGATTTATCCTGGTACTTCTTCCAGTTGAAGTCAACAGTTATTTTGGGATGGAATCTATAAGCCCGTCTTCAACGACTCTCTGTCACTTCTCCAAATGGCATCTATAAGCCCATTCCCGATGCAATCATCCAATAACATCATCATCTTGCACATGCGAGTGCAAATTTCTGGTCACTTGTGTTCTATCATCTTCTACCTTTAAGTCGCGAATGGTAGACTTGCCAATCTAACTCTCCAGGTTTAAGAAGATTGAATAGGGGCAGCTGTTGTACCCCAAAATGTTCCCTCACATTTTTCTGAAACAACTGGCTGAAAATCATCAAACAATGAAGTCTCCATCGAACGTCTTTTATCCCATATGAAGGGAAAGGTAAACATCAAGAAAACCTGAGAATGGAGAAGTCATGGTCTTGCGACTAAGAGATCGGGTAAGGGAGTCTGTTACGCGAGGGGAAGGTATTAGCACCCCACACGCTCGTAGTACTCTATAGTATCCACTCTTGTTATCTATCTTATGGGTGTGTCTAATCTATGCTTACTATTTACTACTTAGAAGGAATGCATGCAAAATAAAAGGGAAAAATTTAGGGAAAATAAAGTTGTACTCGCTTGGGCCCTACCCCAATGCCTACGTGTCCTTTTTGAGGAATCAGATCTACCGTAGTTTGACTCACATGTTTTGTGTGTTTTGTGTTTTTTATGGATAACGTTAATTTTTCCTTTTTCCGCAACTCGACCTTTGGAGACGTATGTGTTGGCACAAAAGTAAATTAATCATGTCCTTACCTGAAAAGGGTTTTAGAGAAGAGGTGCTTGGGCGCACAAAAAGTTTTCATTTGGTTTGTATTTTTGTTACCTTGAAAAAGGGTTTGAGTGTGATTAGCATGTTTTTTATTTGCTAAGAAAAGAAGTTTTAGTTTTAGATGCATATGTATAAGGGGAAGAAAAGAGTCTAAGTGAGACTAGCCTATTTTTTACCTAATATTATCATACAATGGTAGTCCTAAGGTTTAGATTTACAAAAGGGAAATATCTACCTAATGCTAGCATATATGGTTTTCAACCTAAGGTCTAAATTGCACCCGAAGGGAGCAAACACGTCCTAAGGGAACATGGTATGTACAAGGGTAAAGCAAACAAGCTAATAATCTCAAGAGATCACACCTAGAGATCCTATCTAGGTTAGAATGCCAAAGAAAGTCTAACAAAACTATCCCACAGGGAACATGCAATGAGAGCGAAGTCGTGATCTCAATTTCTAAATTGAGTGACTCATCAATCAACAAGAAATAAAGGAAAGCGATAAAATCCTATAGGGAGCATGCACTGAGAGCAAAGTCATGATCTCAATTTCTAAATTGAGTGACTCATCGATCATCCATAAATAACAGAAAGCGATAAAATCCTATAGGGAGCATGCACTGAGTGCGAAGTCGTGATCTAAATTCCTAAATTCAGTGACTCATTGATCAACAACCAAAGAACAAACACAAGCACAACACATATAGCAAATGAAAAGTGAAATTCCTGCTACAAGTCTTTAAACAGTGACTTCGAGCGTACGCTCTTTATTTGCTACTTCTCATGGTATCTAGAAAAGTGGTAAATACATGTAGTAAAATGCGAAGAAGTGGGAAGGTAGTAGCGGCGACTACCAAAGAGAAAAAATCGTCAAGAGCAGACAAAATCAATGGAGAAGCAGGGAGTACGCGTCGAGCAAGCTTCACCAAGAAACAAACAAAGTCAGAAATAATATCCAACTAAGATAAAGGCAAACGCGTGTTGCGAATGCAACGCGTAATCATAAGTTCATGCACAAAGCTCATAAAGTATCGCATGTATCAATACAACATATAATACGATATGAATTCCTCAAGACGATGAGAAATGAGGCGTGTCGCATCAGAAGCGAGCATAAGCCGTATGCTTCGATCACATAGCCACATGTTATGTTACATGATCGAAAGCACAAAATATACCCTGCACAATGAACAAACGCGTCAAAATATAACATGGCAAAGCGGCACGAAAATGCGGATAAAAAGACTAAAAGAGAAAAAGTATTTTTTTTATTAGTTTTTATGTAAGGAAAATTCTAAAAAAAAAACTAGAGAATTAATTCCTAAAATTTCTATTAAAATCTACTATTTTATTGATTTGTATATTCTTTTATTGTATGCATTTTATTTACAAAAGTAAAAATAATAATAGGAATTAAAATAATAGTGTCAGGGGGGTGTACTGCCTAAATCCAGTGGTGCTGAAATAAGGGTACTAGGCCTAGCAAGAACAAGGTCCTTTGAGCATTTTTGTTGGCAAGGAAAATTCCAGGTTCTAGAAAAAGCTACTGGGCTTGGCAAGGAGGGTTCCTCAGACCAACAACAACAAGGTCCACTTTCAGCGTCGTTTTGATATAATTGAATAAAAACTTTAAAAAAATTAAAAGAAAAGAAAGAAAAAATGGTCATGAAACGGTGTGTTTGGGGAAGACGTAGGGTTTTATCTTGTGACTGTTCAGCTTCCCGAGTTAAGACAAAATCCCCTATTCTCTATCGCGGGACTCAATGGCGTCGTATCTCCACTGTCGATCAACTTTGTTCATTGCTGATTGTTCGTTCTCCGGCATTCCTCTTCTTCACATATCAAACCCCAACCTCTCGCGTCTTGGTATCGTTTGTTTTGCCAATCCAAACTTCAAACTTCTTCCATCTTAATCTGTCTTCGTCGGCCAACAACACCGTTCTTAACAAGAATCTCTCCTCCTTTTCCTCAAAAATATCATCTCTTCTGATCCGAATGAAGGCAAATCACAATATAACGAAAAATATGAAGGAAGACGAAATAACAACGTTTACCTACCAGAGACGAGTCTGGCGCTCCTTTGGCGGAGGCCATGAGAAAGCATAAAATCAAAGATGTGGAAGATAATCTAGGTATCACGTTTTTGACTCTTTCCTTCTCTTGCGGTCTCTGCTTCTTCTCTGATTCCGAATTCTGATTTCGTTTATGCGTGAATCGCGAATGCGATGCGATTACTGAAGTTTTGTTTTTGCGGCAATTTACAATTTCAGAATGAAAGAGCAGAGAGTTTATTGTATATTTTCAAATCATTTTGGTAAGATGATGGTGATGAATCTGCGATAGAGATTGAGACGCCAGTTGTAGTTGTGATGAAGATTAGAGATTCCTGAAGGGGATGAAGAGGATACTTACCGGAGAAGTTGAAGATTGAAACATTGATGGAGATTCATGAGGTTCTGGATTCAGAGAGAAAGTATAGAGAAGAGAGAGTTCTCAGAGATTGAATAATCGGTCTCAGTGAAGGTTGATTATTGAAGGTGAAAATGATGAATGGAGGGATCTTCTGAGATTATGCAGAGAGTGAGGTTTAAAAAAGGTGAGTCCTCTAACTGATTTATCTTTCTTTTGTAAACTAAATCGTGAAATTCCTTTTTCTTCTCTTCTCAATTATGTTAGGAATTCTCTCTCCCTCCTTTCTGTTATTCTGTTACGGTTAGGAAGTTTCTTGAGATTCTGTTGGGAATTAGTTAGTTCTTCTAGAAATTCTGTTAGGAGTTGGAAGGTTGGTTACAGTTAGTAGAGAGCTGGATGAAAGTTAGTTATAGGTTAGAGGTTTGAGTTGTCCGTCATGACAGTTAGGAGATGAGGAAGTTAGTTGGGTAGAATTTCTGTCATAGATTGTTAGAAACTCTTAGGGAATTTTTTTGGTTTTATCATTCTGTTAGTAGTTTGTTGAGAATTGGTTAGAAGATGAGAGTTGGTTCTATTGGAGAGGATATTAGCTATACATTTAAGAGGAGATTAGAAGAAGATCTGTTAACAATTAGTTGTTAGGATCTGTTAAATTTTGTTGGAGATTGTGGTTGGAGCTGTTAGTGGTTAGAGCAGGTTATAGGCTGGGAGTTAGAAACCATTGGTTAGAAAACTGTAAAAAACAAATTTTGTTTTCTTTTACACGGTTAGAAAATGTTATTTATGGATTGAACAGTTCTGTTATTTTGTTGATTATGATTCAGTTATAGGAAGCTGTTATTTTGTTGATTATGATTCAGTTACAGGAAGCTGGTTTTCTGTCTATGATTTCAAGGTTGATCTAGTATTTCAACTGATGCAGGGCCATTTGTTTTTTGAATTCTGCCAAGACAATTAGAAATTCCGGTTAGGAGCTAAAGCGGTTAGGATATGGCTAGAGGATGAGAATTATGGATTTTTCTATTATGGTTAGTTCACAGGGCTTCTCATTCCAACTGAACAACTTCAAGAAACTGGGAAATGTTATCTTGAAGGCCATGTTACGGTTTGACATTTAGGATGATTAATTGGACTGGTGGAACTATCCAAACATCACATGCATTTCTTGAGGTTAATCTCAACTGTTTTAGAATTATTTAAACTTAACACATTGGACCTGTGACAGAACTGACATGTGTATGGCTGGATGTTGCAGGTGGCACTAATTATGCGGTTTTGAATTATGCAGGTGATGGAGCCTTGTTGAGAGCTACTTCCTGGCATCAATGCGCATGTAAATGATTCACCATCACTTTGAATTTTGGATAAATCCTTCCTTTCGTCATATAACTTCAATGTTAGCAATGTTTGATCTCCAACTTTGGTTGTTTGTGATGTATTGTAGGTACTTGATTTCTCCCCTGGCCTTGTGTATCCAAGAAGTATCCCCTAACAACTCATCAGATTTTGACTGGCTTAATAGCTTGGACGAATAATCGGTATCTGTTTTCTTAAAGACAATTGAAGCAACAGAAAGAGCAGCAACCACCTTAGCTACAGCCTCGGTTCCAGGGGAATTAACATCAATCATATATGTCATTCTCGGTATATCCATGTCTTATGGATGCTCCCAACAATTATGATATGCATTTCCATCTCCTGTTTCTGCAAAGATACTTAACATCTTTTACATTTTCTATTTCTCCTTGTGACCTCTTGGAATGCACTCATGTCCTTTTCCATGAGTTTGAACAATAATAGCATGATGTTGACTTTTTATGTAACTCCCTTAGTTGATTGACTTTGTAATTGTAATCTCTTTATAGCTTTCTCTTGGATGAACTTTTGTAAGGACCTTGAATGGATTTTGTGCTTGAACTTGGACAAATGAGTATTGGTAATTGATGGTGAAATGGTATTTGCATTTGAAAAGTATTGTAAACTTTAACCTATGAATGAACAAAATGCTGAATTTGAATTTAATGAACTTTGAACTCGATTGTAACTTGATTTGCAAGTTAATGCATCTTTCATTTTTAACACCCATATAAACTCTAACCGACTTCGAATCATCTTCAATTCAATGAAAATCCCTAATTCAACTCTTCCATCCATGTTAACTTGAATTGTAAGCAGCTCACTAATGCCTTGATGAACACTTCATTTTTTGTAGCATGAACCAAAACCTTGGAAGCTCAATCTTCAAATATTTGATTTGGCAAAATTATTTTCCACTTCATGATTTTAACACAAAACAATACCTTTGAAGCATCCTTGGATGAAGATGAATGAGAATTGAATCATAATGGAAAATGTTTGAGGTGACCCTATCTATGATCTTTATACTGATGAATGTCATCAAGCTCAAACCATATAGAAGAAACCCTAGCTTAAAGATCGTCGATCCCATGCCCAGTTTATCAACGATGCATGATTTATTGTATGACCTAATGGAAAATTCACATGAAAACATGCAAGATGCATAAGCTGGATGATTCAATAAAAGGGTAGGACAAATTTGGGGTATTACAGCTACCGCCTCTTTAATCGTATTAAACCTGAAAGTACGATTGGTGCGTGCCATTCGGAAGTTCGAGGTAGAAGATGATTAAATATCAATGCCAAAAATTTGTTCTGAAAGATGGTGGTAACGAGTTTATTTATTTTTGCACCACCCACTGGGGAATTAAAAGAGGTGTGACTAAACCGGATGTATACGTCGATCAGGACACGAAGACATTAAATTACATCGATCGGGACACGATGACTCTGAGGAAAAAACGGATCAGGACATGATGATTGACAGGAGACATATCGATCAGGACACGATGGCTCACATGAATACATCGATCAGAACACGATGATTGTTTGAATCGATATAGACGAGTATCAAAAGAAGATACAGACGAGTATCAATAAAGTTTAAACACAGACAAATGTTTGAATTAATAAGGACGAGTATTGAAAGGTTAAACACAGATGAGTGTTTGAATCAATATAGATGAGTATTGAAGGAAGATACAGACGAGTATCCAAAGGTTAAATACGGACGAGTGTTTGAATCAATACAAAAGAGTATTGAAAGAAGATACATATGAGAATCAAAAGGTTAAATACGGACGAGTGTTTGAATCAACACGTACGAGTATTGAAAGAAGATAAAGACGAGTATCAAAAGGTTAAACACGGACGAGTGTTTGAATCAATACGATCGAGTATTGAAAGAAGATATAGACGAGTATCAAGAGGTTAAACACAGACGAGTGTTTGAATCAATACGGACGAGTATTGAAAGAAGATACAGACGAGTATCAAGAGGTTAAATACGGACGAGTGTTTGAATCAATACAAACGAGTATTGAAAGAAAAAACAGACGAGTATCAAAATCTTAAACACATACGGGTGTTTGAATCAATACGGACGAGTATTGAAAGAAGATGCAGACGAGTATCAAAAGGTTAAACACAGACGAGTGTTTGAATCAATACGAACGAGTATTGAAAGAAGATACAGACGAGTATCAAAAATTTTAAACACAGACGAGTGTTTAGGAGACTGACATGGATGAGTGTTTAGGAAACCGACACAGACGAATGTTAGAAGACTGAATTATTTGTCAGACGGGAACATGCTACCAGACGAGAATTGGGTTTAGAATGACAAGGTCTATTGATTTTGCTGGGAACTTAGGGTACAAGGTACTGGCACCGTTAGCTGGGCATTGTGAAGGTGAAGGTCATCAACTGGGGTTTTGGTAGAAATACCCTCTTGTGGGGACGTATTGTTGTCCTTGAATAATTCAGTCCTTTTGTGTAAGGTACCTGATCTAGCTTATGCTTCATATGCATGTTTGAATTTCTTTTGCCGCAAAGATCCATTCTGATAGATCGGCTACGCGCTTTTGAGGATGCAATGTTATGCAATGAGAACTATATGCAATGCAAAGAAATAGACTTAATGGGATAAGCGAAGGCTCATTGGAACCGTTTCTCATCACCGGGGATGCCAACACATATCAGCGTTGGAAACATGCGGTACCGAGGATCACTGGGGATACTGATAAAACTTTTCATTGGGGAGCTCATGATTCGAAAGAGTATTGATGACTCCATTAGAGATTGAATTGATGACGAAGCGAGTTTATAGGTACTGAAATTCTGGCTGCAGATACCCAATGTAACGTTCAATGTTATGACACCGTATCTGACTTACTATATGACAGTAAATACAAAAACAATAAAGAACACAGTCAATTGTTTACCCAGTTCAGTGTGCAACAACACCTACTCTGGGGGCTACCAAGCCAGGGAGGAAATCCACTATAAGAGATGTTAATTCAGGAATAAACCAACCAGTTTATCTCCTTCACTTAAGACCTACCCAATGCAATTTCAATCTAAGTACAACTTAAACCTGAGTTCCTACTCACTCCCCCTCAATCACAGCAGTGATACATAAAACAATTTTACTAATGAATTGATGAAGACACTCTTCAAAAACATACACTTGATTAAGCTTCACAGCTTTTTAATCAAGCAACACAACCACTCTTGCTTCACAGCTTTGAGTGATGCACACAACTAACTTGACTCTGCTTCACAGCTTTAGTCAAGAAACATTCAAACACTCTTGCTTCAAAGCTTTGAGTGCTACA